TTTAAATCAAATTTAGTTTTTTTTACTTGCGTAGTAAAGTAATTTTTTTAATGTTTTCATTTGCTATACAGCCGGATGGATAAGACGAATCGGTAACCTTAAACACCGCGGTCGTTCGTAAAAGCTGAAGGGCAGTATAGTACTATAGCAATAGAGCAAGTGCAGAATCACCGAACCGAAATTGAGTGCTACTAGGGTAATGAGACATTGTTACGTAGCATTAGTAGCTACTTGTGCTACTAGGATAATGAGACACTGACAAGTAGCATTAGTAGTTACTTGTGCTACTAGGATAATGAGACACTGACAAGTAGCATTAGTAGCTACTTGTGTTACTAGGATAATGAGACACTGACAAGTAACATTAGTAGCTACTTGTGTTACTAGGATAATGAGACACTGACAAGTAACATTAGTAGCTACTTGTGTTACTAGGATAATGAGACACTGACAAGTAACATTAGTAGCTACTTGTGTTACTAGGATAATGAGACACTGACAAGTAACATTAGTAGCTACTTGTGTTACTAGGTTAATGAGACACTGACAAGTAACATTAGTAGCTACTTGTGTTACTAGGATAATGAGACACTGACAAGTAACATTAGTAGCTACTTGTGTTACTAGGATAATGAGACACTGACAAGTAACATTAGTAGCTACTTGTGTTACTAGGATAATGAGACACTGACAAGTAACATTAGTACCTACTTGTGTTACTAGGTTAATGACACTGACAAGTAACATTAGTAGCTACTTGTGCTACTAGGATAATGAGACACTGATAAGTAACATTAGTAGCTACTTGTGTTACTAGGATAATGAGACACTGACAAGTAACATTAGTAGCTACTTGTGTTACTAGGATAATGAGACACTGACAAGTAACATTAGTAGCTACTTGTGTTACTAGGATAATGAGACACTGACAAGTAACATTAGTAGCTACTTGTGTTACTAGGATAATGAGACACTGACAAGTAACATTAGTAGCTACTTGTGCTACTAGGATAATGAGACACTGACAAGTAACATTAGTAGCTACTTGTGTTACTAGGATAATGAGACACTGACAAGTAACATTAGTAGCTACTTGTGCTACTAGGATAATGAGACACTGACAAGTAACATTAGTAGCTACTTGTGCTACTAGGATAATGAGACACTGATAAGTAACATTAGTAGCTACTTGTGTTACTAGGATAATGAGACACTGACAAGTAACATTAGTACCTACTTGTGTTACTAGGTTAATGACACTGACAAGTAACATTAGTAGCTACTTGTGTTACTAGGATAATGAGACACTGACAAGTAACATTAGTAGCTACTTGTGTTACTAGGTTAATGAGACACTGACAAGTAACATTAGTAGCTACTTGTGTTACTAGGATAATGAGACACTGACAAGTAACATTAGTAGCTACTTGTGTTACTAGGTTAATGAGACACTGACAAGTAACATTAGTAGCTACTTGTGTTACTAGGTTAATGAGACACTGACAAGTAACATTAGTAGCTACTTGTGCTACTAGGTTAATGAGACACTGACAAGTAACATTAGTAGCTACTTGTGTTACTAGGATAATGAGACACTGACAAGTAACATTAGTAGCTACTTGTGCTACTAGGATAATGAGACATTGACAAGTAGCATTAGTAGCTACTTGTGCTACTAGGTTAATGAGACACTGACAAGTAACATTAGTAGCTACTTGTGCTACTAGGATAATGAGACACTGACAAGTAGCATTAGTAGCTACTTGTGTTACTAGGATAATGAGACATTGACAAGTAACATTAGTAGCTACTTGTGCTACTAGGTTAATGAGACACTGACAAGTAGCATTAGTAGCTACTTGTGTTACTAGGTTAATGAGACACTGACAAGTAACATTAGTAGCTACTTGTGCTACTAGGTTAATGAGACACTGACAAGTAACATTAGTAGCTACTTGTGCTACTAGGATAATGAGACACTGACAAGTAACATTAGTAGCTACTTGTGCTACTAGGTTAATGAGACACTGACAAGTAACATTAGTAGCTACTTGTGCTACTAGGATAATGAGACACTGACAAGTAACATTAGTAGCTACTTGTGCTACTAGGTTAATGAGACACTGACAAGTAACATTAGTAGCTACTTGTGCTACTAGGATAATGAGACACTGACAAGTAACATTAGTAGCTACTTGTGCTACTAGGTTAATGAGACACTGACAAGTAACATTAGTAGCTACTTGTGCTACTAGGTTAATGAGACACTGACAAGTAACATTAGTAGCTACTTGTGCTACTAGGATAATGAGACACTGACAAGTAACATTAGTAGCTACTTGTGCTACTAGGTTAATGAGACACTGACAAGTAACATTAGTAGCTACTTGTGCTACTAGGATAATGAGACACTGACAAGTAACATTAGTAGCTACTTGTGCTACTAGGTTAATGAGACACTGACAAGTAACATTAGTAGCTACTTGTGCTACTAGGTTAATGAGACACTGACAAGTAACATTAGTAGCTACTTGTGCTACTAGGTTAATGAGACACTGACAAGTAACATTAGTAGCTACTTGTGTTACTAGGTTAATGAGACACTGACAAGTAACATTAGTAGCTACTTGTGCTACTAGGATAATGAGACACTAACAAGTAACATTAGTAGCTACTTGTGCTACTAGGATAATGAGACACTGACAAGTAACATTAGTAGCTACTTGTGTTACTAGGTTAATGAGACACTGACAAGTAACATTAGTAGCTACTTGTGTTACTAGGATAATGAGACACTAACAAGTAACATTAGTAGCTACTTGTGTTACTAGGTTAATGAGACACTGACAAGTAACATTAGTAGCTACTTGTGTTACTAGGATAATGAGACACTAACAAGTAACATTAGTAGCTACTTGTGTTACTAGGATAATGAGACACTGACAAGTAACATTAGTAGCTACTTGTGCTACTAGGTTAATGAGACACTGACAAGTAACATTAGTAGCTACTTGTGCTACTAGGATAATGAGACACTGACACGTAACATTAGTAGCTACTTGTGTTACTAGGTTAATGAGACACTGACAAGTAACATTAGTAGCTACTTGTGCTACTAGGATAATGAGACACTGACACGTAACATTAGTAGCTACTTGTGCTACTAGGTTAATGAGACACTGACACGTAACATTAGTAGCTACTTGTGTTACTAGGATAATGAGACACTGACAAGTAACATTAGTAGCTACTTGTGTTACTAGGATAATGAGACACTGACACGTAACATTAGTAGCTACTTGTGCTACTAGGATAATGAGACACTGACACGTAACATTAGTAGCTACTTGTGTTACTAGGATAATGAGACACTGACAAGTAACATTAGTAGCTACTTGTGTTACTAGGTTAATGAGACACTGACACGTAACATTAGTAGCTACTTGTGTTACTAGGATAATGAGACACTGACAAGTAACATTAGTAGCTACTTGTGCTACTAGGTTAATGAGACACTGACAAGTAACATTAGTAGCTACTTGTGCTACTAGGATAATGAGACACTGACAAGTAACATTAGTAGCTACTTGTGCTACTAGGTTAATGAGACACTGACAAGTAACATTAGTAGCTACTTGTGCTACTAGGTTAATGAGACACTGACAAGTAACATTAGTAGCTACTTGTGCTACTAGGTTAATGAGACACTGACAAGTAACATTAGTAGCTACTTGTGTTACTAGGTTAATGAGACACTGACAAGTAACATTAGTAGCTACTTGTGCTACTAGGATAATGAGACACTAACAAGTAACATTAGTAGCTACTTGTGCTACTAGGATAATGAGACACTGACAAGTAACATTAGTAGCTACTTGTGTTACTAGGTTAATGAGACACTGACAAGTAACATTAGTAGCTACTTGTGTTACTAGGATAATGAGACACTAACAAGTAACATTAGTAGCTACTTGTGTTACTAGGTTAATGAGACACTGACAAGTAACATTAGTAGCTACTTGTGTTACTAGGATAATGAGACACTAACAAGTAACATTAGTAGCTACTTGTGTTACTAGGATAATGAGACACTGACAAGTAACATTAGTAGCTACTTGTGCTACTAGGTTAATGAGACACTGACAAGTAACATTAGTAGCTACTTGTGCTACTAGGATAATGAGACACTGACACGTAACATTAGTAGCTACTTGTGTTACTAGGTTAATGAGACACTGACAAGTAACATTAGTAGCTACTTGTGCTACTAGGATAATGAGACACTGACACGTAACATTAGTAGCTACTTGTGCTACTAGGTTAATGAGACACTGACACGTAACATTAGTAGCTACTTGTGTTACTAGGATAATGAGACACTGACAAGTAACATTAGTAGCTACTTGTGTTACTAGGATAATGAGACACTGACACGTAACATTAGTAGCTACTTGTGCTACTAGGATAATGAGACACTGACACGTAACATTAGTAGCTACTTGTGTTACTAGGATAATGAGACACTGACAAGTAACATTAGTAGCTACTTGTGTTACTAGGTTAATGAGACACTGACAAGTAACATTAGTAGCTACTTGTGCTACTAGGATAATGAGACACTGACAAGTAACATTAGACGTAGGGGAGGCTCAGGACCGGCTCAGAAAGTGTCTCTGGCGGCGTTGGCCACGAGCGGGAATGGAACTCGGCTGGTCGGTGCGGAGCGCTGCGCTCAGCACGTCACTGCCAACAACAACAAACTTGAACTCTGACCCCGCCCTCTGACGTCACCGCTCAGCGTGACCTCATCGGCGTCAAACGCCACGGGGAGGTGTGCCTTGTTAGTGACGTCATGTGACCAAGGTATTCACCCAACTCACGCGCTCTTGAGCGTGACGTCACCTCCGCTCGGCCGATGTCTGTTCCAGTGCCAATCCTTATTTGGGCAAAGCTACGCCCGGTGACTGGCGGCTCATTAACATAATTTATTTAAGTTGCAGAGCCGCTCGTTGTGGGAGGAGAGTGTCTTGTCCTGCAAGTGACGTCATGTCACCTCGTGACGTCACGAGGGACCAGGAAGTTGCCGCTCCGCGCTCGCACTGCAATCCGAGGTGAGAAATTCTCATCGCGGTTGTTGTGGTGGTTGTTGTTGTGGTGGTTGTTGTTGTTTACCGAGGTAGAGCCTTGCTCTCTCTCTCGTAGGGATGTCAATTGAGTAGCAGCGAGCATGGAAGCGATGTGCAGGGTGGAACTTTACAACGCGGGGCCTAGTGCCTCCTGCCCTCGCCTGATGGCGTTCGCTTCAATTCTCTCGCTTAAGTTTAATTTGTCTTGACCCGGATCGCCACTTTGTACCTTTGTTTAAATATTCTATACTAACACAGTTTCTTTTTTCATTTTTTACCAGGCCACGCCCGCTTGAGCTGCTGTACCGCTCTTGTTTTCAGAAGCGACCTGCCAACAACAACAACAAGGCAGAGGTGGGACAAAGTCATTGTTATGCAAGTCCAAGTCGAGTCTGAAGTCATCAAATTCATGACTCGAGTCTGACTCGAGTCCACACCTCTGCAACAAGGTGAGGCTCGTCAACAGCGTGGCGGTGTTCACTCTAGACGCGTGGCGGTGTTCACTTTAGACGCGTGGCGGTGTTCACTCTAGACGCGTGGCGGTGTTCACTCTAGACGCGTGGCGGTGTTCACTCTAGACACGTGGTGGTGTTCACTCTAGACACGTGGTGGTGTTCACTCTAGACGCGTGGCGGTGTTCACTCTAGACACGTGGCGGTGTTCACTCTGGACGTGTGGTGGTGTTCACTCTAGACGCGTGGTGGTGTTCACTCTAGACGCGTGGTGGTGTTCACTCTGGACGCGTGGTGGTGTTCACTCTAGACGCATGGTGGTGTTCACTCTAGACGCGTGGCGGTGTTCACGCTAGACGCGTGGCGGTGTTCACTCTGGAAGCATGGTGGTGTTCACTCTAGACACGTGGTGGTGTTCACTCTGGACGCGTGGCGGTGTTCACTCTAGACGCGTGGCAATGTTCACTCTGGACGCGTGGTGGTGTTCACTCTAGACGCGTGGCGGTGTTCACTCTAGACGCGTGGCGGTGTTCACTCTAGACGCGTGGCGGTGTTCACTCTAGACGCATGGCGGTGTTCACTCTAGACGCATGGCGGTGTTCACTCTAGACGCGTGGCGGTGTTCGCTCTGGACGCGTGGCGGTGTTCACTCTAGACACGTGGCGGTGTTCACTCTAGACGTGTGGCGGTGTTCACTCTAGACGCGTGGCGGTGTTCACTCTAGACACGTGGCAGTGGTCACTCTAGACACGTGGCGGTGTTCACTCTAGACACGTGGCGGTGTTCACTCTAGACGCGTGGCGGTGTTCGCTCTGGACGCGTGGCGGTGTTCACTCTAGACACGTGGTGGTGTTCACTCTAGACGTGTGGCGGTGTTCACTCTAGACGCGTGGCGGTGTTCACTCTAGACACGTGGCAGTGGTCACTCTAGACGCGTGGCGGTGTTCGCTCTGGACGCGTGGTGGTGTTCACTCTAGACGCGTGGCGGTGGTCACTCTAGATACGTGGCAGTGTTCGCTCTGGACGCATGGCGGTGTTCACTCTAGACGCGTGGCGGTGTTCGCTCTGGACGCGTGGCGGTGTTCACTCTAGACACGTGGCGGTGTTCACTCTAGACGTGTGGCGGTGTTCACTCTAGACGCGTGGCGGTGTTCACTCTAGACACGTGGCGGTGTTCACTCTAGACGCATGGCGGTGTTCACTCTAGACGCGTGGCGGTGTTCGCTCTGGACGCGTGGCGGTGTTCACTCTAGACACGTGGCGGTGTTCACTCTAGACGTGTGGCGGTGTTCACTCTAGACGCTTGGCGGTGTTCACTCTAGACACGTGGCGGTGTTCACTCTAGACACGTGGCAGTGGTCACTCTAGACACGTGGCGGTGTTCACTCTAGACACGTGGCGGTGTTCACTCTAGACACGTGGCGGTGTTCACTCTAGACGCATGGCGGTGTTCACTCTAGACGCGTGGCGGTGTTCGCTCTGGACGCGTGGCGGTGTTCACTCTAGACACGTGGCGGTGTTCACTCTAGACGTGTGGCGGTGTTCACTCTAGACGCTTGGCGGTGTTCACTCTAGACACGTGGTGGTGTTCACTCTAGACACGTGGCAGTGGTCACTCTAGACACGTGGCGGTGTTCACTCTAGACACGTGGCGGTGTTCACTCTAGACGCGTGGCGGTGTTCGCTCTGGACGCGTGGCGGTGTTCACTCTAGACACGTGGTGGTGTTCACTCTAGACGTGTGGCGGTGTTCACTCTAGACGCGTGGCGGTGTTCACTCTAGACACGTGGCAGTGGTCACTCTAGACGCGTGGCGGTGTTCGCTCTGGACGCGTGGTGGTGGTCACTCTAGACACGTGGTGGTGTTCACTCTCTACATGTGGAGGGGAAACCCGGGGATCGGCAGCTGTAGAAGTACGGCGCGCGAAGAGCCATGTGGTAGGGGGGTAAGCATTGCAGAGCGCTTAGCTCAGGTGTGATGCGGGTTGATGCCACATACGTCATGGTCATTTCCTCCCCCCCCCCCCCCCCCAAAATACAAAAGTCTATTTTTCTTTCCTGAAGGCATCAACACGTTCAGCGAGCGCGATGACGATCACACGCGTCGAATGAAAAGCAAGGGACAAGTCCTTTCTTACTAACAACTCCTTTCTCACTAACAACTCCTTACTTACTAACAACTCCTGTAATTTTTCATTGCTGGAGGGGTTTCCCCCCCCTACCTGAAAATCCTGGCTCCACCTCTGAGTGTGTGACAGTGTCAAGTTTGTATTTGCAGTAAAGTCTATTAACTCTATTGAGCACAGAGGTTATATCAAAACAGTAGTTTATTTTATTTTTCCTCTGGAACTATTCTTTGGTTCTTTCGGTTAAGTCACGTCTAAAGATAAAATAATAAATTAAAATGAAAGCAGTATGCTTTTATTTTCATTCATTATTTTATCTTTAGACGTGACTTAACCGAAAGAACCAAAGAATAATTCCTGCAGTCACGAAAGCTCCATAATTAAGATTCCTCTGGAACTCTTTGTAAGAATGGAGTCAGGAAGTGATCACAGCACACACGTGCAGCAGCTGAAGTCGGAACTGCTCATCCCAGCAATCAAGGACATCTGTGCCTGGCTTCACACCTTTAAGTTGCGATTGAACATTAATTTATGCATTTGTGCGTGACACAAATAGTATTATTTTCAACACCCTTTGCTATGTCAGCTGAATTTAGCTTTCATAAACATTTATTTAGAAGCCAGACAGCTGAAATTGTGTGCTGAGTTTTGGGTTAACGTTCATTTTGAAGATACGAGGGCTTCCAGGCATGTTTATGACCATTTGGCCTCTCTTTGTGTGCCATAACAGCCCGTGTGATGAATTTGGGACACTTTTTTTTTACTATATCATAAATATATGAATAATTATAGACGTGTAAGTCACGTGTGACTGTGTATATGCATTCCTCTGGGCCTCGATACTGACGTGTAGATGGTGTGGATATTCTTTGTTTCTGTCTGCAGCTGTCGCTGCCTCTGCAGAAGTGGTCTCATGGAGCAAAGGCACTCGGCGCAGCTCGGTGCAAAAAGGCATCAATGCGACCGGTGTGCATACAGCACGGATCGTCCTGCACATTTGACACTGCACCAGAGAACTCACACTGGGGAGAAACCCTTCAAGTGCAGTGTGTGTGGGAAGGCGTTTGCACGGTCATCTACTCTTGTAGAACACCAGAGAACACACACGGGAGAGAAACCCTTCAAGTGCAGTGTGTGTGGGAAGACGTTTGCACATTCATCTGCTCTTGTAGCACACCAGAGAACTCACACGGGAGATAAACCCTTCAAGTGCAGTGTGTGTGGGAAGGTGTTTGGACAGTCATCTGCTCTTGTAAAACACCAGAGAACACACACGGGAGAGAAACCCTTTAAGTGCACTTTGTGTGGGAAGGCGTTTTCATATTCATCTGCTCTTGTAAGACACCAGAGAACACACACGGGAGAGAAACCCTTTAAGTGCACTTTGTGTGGGAAGGCGTTTTCAGATTCATCTGCTCTTGTAAAACACCAGAGAACCCTCATGGGAGAGAAACCCTTCAAGTGCAGTGTGTGTGGGAAGGCGTTTTCACGTTCATCTGATCTTAAAATACACCAGAGAACACACACGGGAGAAAAACCCTTCAAGTGCGGTGTGTGTGAGAAGGCGTTTACACTTTCACCAAATCTTCAAAGACACGAGAGAACACACAAGCATCAGAAGATCCACCAGGAGTGGAGTCTGAAATCAGCTTGTGAAAGTCAAAGTTCTGCAATGAGCCCATCCCTCATGAAACAAGAACCGGAAGAACATCCCAGCCTGGACACTTTCAAAGAAATCGAGGTGAAATATGAAGAGGTGAAGGTGGAATGTGAAGACGTGATGGTAAAGAGCGAAGAAGTGAAGGTAAAATGTGAAGATGAAGATTCAACTCCAAAATCGGACTTTCACATCGATGGAGGCAACGTGAAGCAGGAGGAGAATTCTGACTGTGAGGCAGAGCGAGGCAACTCCCAGCAGTTTGTGGAAGTGGAGGTGTGGGTGGACTTCCTCCGAGACAGTACAAAGTCGAATGGAGACCCGGTAGATGTGTAAGCCTGAAACGATGTCGCTCCAATAGATGCACCTTTGTCACAGGCCTTTAATGACAATAATGTGAAGTTGAACACTCAGTTCCTAGGTGCAACCTGCAGGGTAAGAGCGGCCAGTCTTTGTGGACCTGTGTGTTGGGTAGATCTCTAACTAGGAGCGAGAGCCAATAAGCTCCCAAGCATTCACTATGTTATCATAATTGCATTTATATGGTGCTTGCTTAATTGCCTCGGCAATTCGGAGTTTTGTATCGTATCTCTTTTCAAACACTCTAAGAGCATCCCCAAGTAGCAGCTGCCCCTGTGTGGCACAAGGTGGTGGCCATGCACCGGCCTGCACGTGGACAAGAGCCTGTCAGTAGGGGGCGATGGTTGATGTGGCATCTCGGTTGTGGAGTTTGTAGGTAATGTTTAGAATTTTTTTGATCAATTTTGACCCAGACTCCAGCATGCAATGGCCTACTCGTTTTGAATGGTGCATTAGTATGTTGTACATACACTGTTAAGCAGACGGTGCGTATTTTTTTAATTAGCTTGTTAATGCGATGTAACCTAATGCAGTATATTTCAGTGCAGTCATTAAATTTTGTTAATATGCCTGTCACGAATTTAGAATGAATACTTGTCTGATGGTGTGCGTACATGTAACCTTTTGTCTACAAGGGTCAAACTTTGAATGAGTCATGTTAGGACACAGTGTGTGTTTTGCAAGTAACCTGTACAGATAACTCAGGTGAGACTCATTGTTCTTGTGATACAGGTCAAAGGGTATTTTTGTGTTTTCAGGAAGCATCTCCCTCTGGAGCAACTCATTGTCTTTAAAATAGCGAGCACACTCGTATCATTCATCAGTTACAAGGCAAACCACTTAAAAGTTACACGTAGAGGAGATACATTCTCAACAACACGAATTATAATTTTGCATTACGTGTTGACGTAGATTTTGTCTAACTAGGACGAGAAATACTCCTTACTGATTAATGTCTGGATGTCCCTAACTATCGGTTGAAACAAGCCCGGCTGCTGTTGAGACGCTGTGCACCAATAAGGGTCCACATGTGGCTTGCACTGAATCAATGACGCGCTCCCAGAAGTCTGTGCTAGTTATAGTTTGTGTAAAACATTCATTTGTTTCGTGGAGAGATCGATAAATGAAAGATGTCGTGTCTGCTGATCTGCTTCATAGCAAGGAGGTCATTTTAAGAGCACATTTGGAATGCATTTTTGGTACAGATTTGTATTCGGTTACAAGGCAAAGCACATCTAGTAGATACATTCTCCACAACAACACTCATTAGAATTTTGCATGACGTCTTATATATGTTGGCGAACTAGGACAAGAAATGGTCCTTGCCGATTAATGTCTGGATGTTGACAACCATGGGGTTGAAGCAAGCCGGACCGCCTGCGGTGCCCCTCAACCGTTTACGGCCTTGGGCCAGGAAAGTCACGAAGAAAATTGTCCACGAACGACGCATCCACGCAAACACCCGATGCTCCGTTTTGAAGTTTTAAAATGAAACAACTTTGAATTGTATTATGTTTTTGAATTAGATAATTGTACTTAATTAAAAGCTTATATTTTACATCTGGAAGACTTCATTGAAAACGACATTTCGTGTGAATTTTCTCTAGTCGTGAAGTAGATGGCCTTGCCGGGGATTCGGTTCGATGCGGACTTTCACCTGGTTGGGATCGCGAGGTGGAGATGAGGCGACACAGAGCTGGCCGTGCCAGAAGACCGCCGTCTGCAGATCGATTCCAACGTGATCGAACGTCTGTCACTGTGCCTCCGTCGTTCATGCAGGGGGCGCGTAGGGTTACAGCGCCCCCTGCATGAAAACGACGGAAAGTGCAGCATTCATCACAGATAGATAAAGTTGTGCGCTTATATATAAGAGCATCGCCAGTGGGTTTTCAAAGTACCTTCGTCTTACAGAAATCAATTTCGCGTGAGCCCACCGCATTACAACAATGCTCAGCTGTAGCTCACGTGACTTCTGCCGCGACAATGTCTGGATGTTGTCGCCTGAGGACGACCGCTCGTGTTGCGATTGAAACTTCGTGATTTATTTATTATTTTATTTGTTCTACATACGTGACTTTACTGAAAGAACCAAAGAGTATGAAAGACGTCTTGTCTGCTGATCTTGTTCATGTCCGTGTACATCGATATCCCACATTGCTTACACTACACACCACACACAATGAAATTAATAGAAACGAGAACGACTTCTGGGGATGGGCAAAGATCGAGGAATCTCTTTCAATGGAGCGAGTTCAGTGAGTTCGATTCAACATCTCGCTGTCCGTCTGTGTCTGTTCGCCTCTATGTGTCTCTCTCTCTGCCTGTCTCTGTCTATGTCGTCTCTGTGTCTCTCTGCTCCTCTTGGCTGTGTCTGTCCGCCTGTCTTGTCTGTCTGTGTCTGTCTATCAGCGTCTGTCCCACCGGAGTCAACGATTGTCAGTAGCAGCAGGCGCCCGTTCAGCTCCCACGACTACACGCCACTCAAACTTGCTCCCAATACACAAAGACAAAGATCCCCAATACAGCCTTAACAGACTGTCGGGTCAAGTGCTGTTAGCGAGCACCTATGGACTAACACACACACACACATCGATGTACATACACACATCAACTGACACAGATAGACGCACACACACAGTGACTCACATGAAGCCATGCACACACATGGACTAATATGCACACTTGGACTTACACACACATCGACGTACACACACAAACATCTGGCATTGCCTGGGCAAAAAAGACACAGATACTCCGACTTACACACACACATTTACCTAAACACACATATGGACTCAAATACACACACACATCGACTTACACAGCAATCCCCTGTGATGCCACAGCTAGAGCAATTTTCTCTCTCTGGCAAGCCTTTGCGAGGAGCAGTTTTAAAACAAAGGTCTTCCCAGTACTGGCAGGTGCATCAAGGATAAAAATGACTCGATTTGTAGTCTCAATGTCTTCCAAGATTTCCGTGTAGGCTTCTATTTGTGCATCCATCAGCTTTGGTTAATTTTCCTAAAGTTTTTAAGAATCTGTCAAGCATAATAGCATATTTCACGTAGTATCTCTTGAGCAAGAGCATGCAGGTTGTCCCTGTAGGGTATTGGTGGTCCCATAGACGTGAAGTATTTCCCAGCAATGGAGTGCAGTTTGTCGTGAAGGAGGATGAGGGCCTGTTTGAAGATAACATCAGAAAAGTTGACGTCCAGGTTAGTATTTTGTTATTGAGCTCCGTGGAGGATGTCCTCTCTCATGCCCTCTTTGTATTTTTGCCAGAGTCCCATGGGGTTAGATGGGCTGCAAACTTGAAGAGTCATGCAGAAGAGCAATGTCAGTTGGAAAGGGGACTGACCAACAGAAGCTTCTGTCAAAGCTTTATGAATAAGGTGATCATGCGCAAGAATTGCACGAAGATTGCAAGCTTTCCTGTATGTTTGACAGACAACTCGTTCCACTGTTTATAGGTCTTGAAAAGATTTGTGCCCTTTGGCAACATGGAGAAGCATTGGGAGAAAGCACTGCTGATTGTTGGGATGAACTGTGTAGACTCGTCCTAAGGCATCCGATTCACCGTCAGCAGCACTTCGCTTCCATGTTTTTAGCAGTCCGTGTATAGTAGGAGGGAACTTAATGGTAGAGCAGGTTGGCAGCAAATGTGTCACTTGGGCACAAAACCAAGAACGCCATCAGGTATCTTGTGGAGCCAGGGCCTGTTGTGGGGCATTTCCTTTGGTGACGTAGATGCGTTGACCATTTTGGAGGTGAAGTGCCAAATGGACGACTGTGGGGGGACGGTGATGGATGGGGAAGCCAAGAATTCAGCAAATGGCCTCATTGTTGCCGATGTATTTTGCTTGGAAAAAAAGTTTTGGGTCATGCACACTTTGCCCGTCTGTTTTGTAAGGCAAAGACATCCATGTCAGAGCCTTTTTACTTTTTTACGTAATATATAGGATACTAAGGCTAAGCACACCCGAGGATTGCACTTTTGTTGAAAAATGAAACTGTAAAAATTTGGCCATTATTGGCCAAAAACGGCACAGGTTAGTATGCCGATTTTCTGTTTGGGACGTGAACATTTCATCGTGAAATTTTTCACTTTTAATCTAATACATGGCATACTAAGGGTAAATACAATAGAGGAATTAACTTTCGTCCAAAAATAAAGCTGTGAAAGTTGAGCTTATTGAGCCTAAAATCGGCACAGTATGCCGATTAACTTTTTATATTCGAAAATTTCATGCATGAAATTCCCCACTTCTTAAAGTTATAGGCTACTCAGGCTAAACACAACCAAGGAATCCACTTTGTGTTTAAAAATAAAAAGAAAAAAATTGGGCCAATTTTGCCAAAAACGGCCTAGGTTAATTATGCTGATTGTTTATGGACGTGACAATTTCATCGTGAAATGTCGCCAGCGGTGTGCTGGAGAGCCAAGCCACGACATCTACAAAGTGCTGCTCATAGCGAGCAGCACCGATCGATGGAGGTCGTCACGGCACACACGAGGGGGTGGGTGGCCAGCACCACGCCCGGCCGCCTT